TCGGAAGGTAAAATTTTTTAGTGAAGTTTATAAATTTCATTCCATGTAGGAATATTATTAAAACTTGATTTGCGCCCGCCAGAGTAGATTGAAAAATTGATTTCGAGCTCTGGCGGTTGAATGTTTCAGTTTTTTGGGCTTTCTAAAAGGAGTGGGATTTCTCGAAAAATCGAAGTTTTTTCAATTATGTGAGGAGTATAAATTGTGTTATCTTGACTGTAATTCGGCTCTTGAGGTTTTGAGTTAGAATAATCATTTAGGTAAGAATCCGAATCAATTGGCATTTCTTATTCATGTTCTAGTATAAGCATGTTAATAACTAATGTGTTTTCTGTTTCACTTTCGTCATCTGTGCTTTGACAGTGTATATCAATTAAGTGTGGTTCTGAAGTTTCTATAATGTCAATTCCTGGAGGGTCTGTGCTTGTTTCATTTGTAGATTGTACTTGATTGATTTGTCTCTGACGTTTTGGTGTAATACTTCTGTAGTTTTGATTTTGTTTATCAGAATATTGTGAGCTATCTCGATATGGTGACTGATACAAAATTCTTGATCTGTTTTGATAGTTGTTGCTTTTCTTTCTAGAATCATCAGGGGATCTAATATTTAAATTCTATCAATAGGTCTATTGTTTGGATAGTTGTGTGATCTATTATTAGAGTAGTTTCACTTACGATTATTTGAATAATTTTGATTGCAGTTGCTTGAATAATTTCTTGAGCGGTCATTGGAACAGTTTTTATTCCGAGGGTTTGAATATGAGCAATTTCTGTTATAGTTCGAATAAAAAATTTTATTAGAATTTGATCTGGAATAATTATTTCGGTACTGAGTGTTTCGAGTATTTGCTATGTTATATCTAATATGTGAATAGTTTTGTGAATTTTGTCAATCTGGTGATCTTCTGCAAAAATGATTGGAATAAAGGGATTGTGATCTGTTATTACTAGAGCTATTTAAGAGTGGTCTTCCTGAGCTATTCTTACTCTGGATATTTTTGTTTGGTCAACTCATGTATTGATAAACATTTTTTTTGGTTTTTTCTAAGTTATCTTGTTGTTTTTGACTGCAGTCAGCAATACTTTGATCATATCTGCGGCAATAATTACACCATTCTTTTTTCATATACATTTAAAGTTTGAGTAATTTTTTCTGCTTATTCGTTGTCGGAGTCTTGAATACTATTTATACGCGAAATTGTTGTTTGAACATTGTTTACGTATTGTAGTTTTAAATTTTCTATTTCTTCTAGTTTTTTTGTGATTTTAGCTTGATCTAATTTGTCTGCTAGTTTTTGGAAACCTATTTTGCGTTCTCGGATTGATGATAGATGTGATGCTCTTTTTTATTGCAATTTTTTCCTAATTGTGGTGTTAAGGTCATCATTAGAACTGATTACGGATTTGTTCTTGTTTAAGGATTATTGCCTTCTTTTTTACAATATGATGTTTCCAGTTTTTTGTTTTAAGCGGTATAGTTACCAGATTATAATCTTTTTAATATAATAAGGATTATAACTTTATTACAAGATTATGATCATAATCTTCTTTAATGAGACAATTATGGATAGTTATCATTTGTTTTGATCCTAGAATATTTCTTCACATAATTGTTTAGTGATGAGTGCAAAATCCAAGGGTTAGGTTTTTTAATTCCTAAAATGATAGTTCCTACAACTTTGGTGAAGTTAACTTGGGGAATTGATTGTCGAGTATAGATGGGTTGGAGAGAGAGTATATCAATTCGTTAGAATGATTTGATACTTTCTCAAGTAGTTAAGTTTTATGAAAACTTAATCTTACTTAGGACGTGATTTTTGATCAAGGGTTGGAGAATAGTAAACCAATCCACAAGGTTCACGTATAAAAAGAACAAAAATAGTCGTTAGCTACTCTTTTAACTTTTACTAATTTTAAGATTTGTTTTAGCCTGGTTCGGTTAAGAGGATGAGTATCCGAAGTTCTTCACTGTTTATCCTCATAAAATGTTTAATTATTTGAAAATTTTTAGTTAGTCTTTGGTCGCCAGTAAACGTTGGAGAGTGAATCGACGTTTCAGGTCATTGGACACTTTTAATAGGAGGTGAGGAGAACAAAATTGTTCTAATCGATCCAAGGAAAGCCTTGATGATCAAGTAGTTTAAAAAGGTTTAAATTTAAAATTAATTTGCAATTCAAAGATCCAAGGATAGCTTTGATGATCTGGTTTAAAGAAAGTTCAACTGGGTATAGAATGAGGATAGGCTTTGACAAGATTGAACTTAAAAGTGAAAGGTTTTAAGAAATGGTTAGAGTTTTAAGAAACAATTTGTTGAAAGTAAACGCTTTAAATGGTTTAGTTTTTTTAGATGAATAGGTGCTATATTTCAGATGAAAAAACAAAAAAGCTAAAGGGACAATAATAGGAGTTCTTGAGAAGCAAGGAACTTTTTATAATTTTGATAAAACTATTTTTGTATTTTTTATTCACTTTATTTTTAATTTTACAAACATTTTAAAGATACTGCTGATTTGAAGTAAATTGTTTTTGTGGTTCTAGATCTATCGTGTTGGTATTATATTTTTTAGTTATTCATCGTTGAGAGATATACATCTGGGAAATGAATCCCACTGCTCCAAGTAATTTGTTTCATATTAGGGAATGAAAGTCTACTGCATTGATAATCTTGTAGAGAAGTAGTTGTTACAGTCTGCTTCTTTGTTTCACGAGGTAGAAGCTCGGTTCGCTATTTGTGTTTTGACCTGGTGTAAGCTTGAATACTCGTTGGTATTGATAGGATTTATTGAGACGTGGATGTAAGTTTTCAATACTTTTTGTTTTTGTTTTTGTTTTATGTGTTGTTTGGGTCTTAAATCTTATGTCTATTTTGGATTTGCTCAATCTAACATTGAAGAGGTCTTGCTCGAGACCATTGGTTGCATCAGATGAGTTTATGTCCGGTGTGGCTCACTCATAGAGTTATTTCAGATAAGGTACCACCTCTGCTCGTCACGCTATCGTACTTACGGTCGGATAGATTCGTGCAAGTTCTTAGTCTCATATCGATCTTAACCTTATTCTTATATCTCCTAGTCTCAATAGATCTAGTGAATACTTGTATTTGCGAGATAAGATATCACGAACGATTCTGAAGAAGAGCAACTGTTAAATTAATTCTGTTCTGGCTGAAACTATAAGTAGTTTCAGCCTTACAAACTATTAGTTATGGATCATGATTGGTTAATCGGAAGTATTTTATAGAGATAGTTTTATCAATAATATAATCGGATATGAATACTAGTTTTAAACTGGTTCTAATTGCAAAAAAAATTTCTGTAGAGTTTTTTTGATAAAGTGTTTTTTTTCGAAGGAATTAAAATGCTTTTTTTAAATGAACCTTTAAAAGTTAAAAGTAACATATGACGATTGCCATGTTCATTTTTTGAAACTATACGGAAAGTTTTTTTTGCAAAATCAGGCTCATGCGTAAAGAAAGTTTTCATCCATTATAATTGATTAGATTGGTTTAAACTGATGTATTTTCTCTTTGGTTTATAATTAATTCTTAATCCATTATCATCGATCATTTCCGAGTTTTGTCGCGATAGACCTTGAAAATCTATTATAATCGGTGTTTATCCAGGCACCTCATTCCGTGAATGCAGCAAAAACCTATTGACTTGTCTGAAAATGCAGGTATTATTGCAGTTTGCAATATCAAAATCTTTTCTTTAAGTGTTTTGGATTTAAGTTTCAGAAGAAATTAAGGAAAGAACAAGAAAAGAGTCACATTTTTGAATGGATTTTAATGATAAAAGATTGATTACGTACGTGATATCAATTAGGCATAGAAAAATGTATGAAAACACACCCAATAACCACCGAGCGTTTTTGAGGTTCCTGACTGAATTTGATTCAGCCAACACGGAGTGCTGCTACTTCCCAGCAATGCCGGGAAGAGAGCAGAAAAAACCTCAACTCTATCGAAGCTAGCTAACCACGCAGTCAATAACACCTATGATCCTGACTCCCAATCTTAAATTTGAAACATTGTTTTATTATCACAAAAAGAAGGCGAATAAAATGCTGTTTACCCGGGTCGAGATCCCGCTCAAAAACCGCACAAGATTTGAGCGGTTTGAGCGGTTTTCCAGCAAGATTTGAGCGGTTTGGGTGGTTTTGGCGGTTTGGGCGGTTTGGGCGGTTTGGGCGGTTTGGGCGGTTTTTTTTGGAAAAACCGCTCAAACCGCTCAAATCTTGCTGAAAAAACCGCTCAAAAACCGCTCATTTCTTGCGGTGATTTTTGAACGGTTTTTCGAGCAAGATTTGAGCGGTTTTTGAGCGGTTTTTGAGCGGTCTTCTCGGGTCGAGGTCCCAGACTCATGTCCATAATTTCGCGACAAAACTTTGGCATGTCCAGACTCTCGCGACCAAGAGTTGCCATTTCCAGACTTTCGCGACCCTCAAAGTCTGGACAAGGGTGTGGTACCTCGACCCGGAAGGATTCTGAGCCTAAAAGTCTGAGCCATTTGTTTTGCGTCAACTCACGAATGCAGGTAAAATCATTTGCTTTGAAAAAACTTCTTGTTGTTCCTGAAACCAAATCAAAACCAAACCCGGGTATCAAAAACCGCTCAAGAGTACAATTTGCATGAATTAGAATGCAGAGTCAGTATTCATTGTGGTGCGTAATTTATATTGGCTTCGCTGCGCGAAACTAGTTTCAGGGCAGAATGGCCTAACGGATAAGGCGTCTGACTTAGAAGATTGGGGGTTCGAATCCCTCTGTGGTCGACTTTTTATTTTAAATCTTGCGCGGTTTTTGAGCGGTTTTTTTAGAGCAACAGCTCAAAACCGTTCAAATCTTGCGCGGTTTTTGAGCGGTTTTTTTAGATAAACCGTTCAAAAACCGCTCAAACTGCTCATTTTGAAGCAAGATTTTGAGCGTAATTGTCTAAAAAAACCGCTCAAACCGCTCAAATCTTGCTTCAAATTAGGTGAAAAATCTCGACTCGGGTACCTTGTTCCCAAACTTGAAAGTGAAGACGTAGACCGTTCCCCATCAGGATTCGTCCGTAAATAGACCAAGAGATTCCAAGCGATCAGGATTGCAGTCACGAGCAAGACAATTTTAGTGACTCGACCTGAAAAAAAAATTAACGTTTCAGGCTCAGAACATTAACTACACCTTTGTCTTTTCCGATTCTTTTAGGCTGGTTTTGGTTTGAAAATTTAGTAACTTTCTTTCTCTAACATCCGTAGTGTTTTTAAAACGTCGATAACAACTTTGGTAACCTCTCAAAATTTTCATATTTTTTGTTTATTGCATGTATACTGAGTTTGAAATAAAACTAGCTCAATTTGTGTGAAAGTGTTAAGGGTAGGCCGGGGTTCAAAGCTTATCTCTGTGAAGAATTGTTTTAGCGACCCGAATTCGTGAAAAGGGTATCTAGAAAAATTGTTTAAAAAATTCAGAAAGTTCAGCTGTGTTCACTTTGTTGCAATTTTTTCAATATACATTTTAAAATTCATCAAGTCATTATAATGGATTTTAAAGCAATCATTTTAAGTTAAGAATATACATTTTTAGTTCTTTAAAAGAGTGTCAAAATACGCAGTAGAAACGAGGCAAAAATTGAGAAAAATGAATATACCGGATCAAGGTGCCCGACTTATGTTTCGACATTGAAAGTCGAGTACGAGCAGTTTTCCTACTAAAATATTGCGGTCGAGAAGCAATTTTAAGACAACCACAAAGTCAAAACATACCGATTTTGGCCTAGAGAGTCAAAACATAGGTCGAGAAAGTCGAAAAAAATCCAATTTTGGGCGAGAAATTCGAAACAAATCCAATTTTGGCCGAGAGAGTCAAAACATAGGTCGAGAAATTCGAAACAAATCCAATTTTTGGCGAGAAAGTTGAAACATAGGTCGAGAAAATCAAAACATGTCCAATTTTGGCCGAGATAGTCTAAAAATAGGTCGAGAAAGTCAAAACATATCCAACTTTAGCCGAGAGAGTCCAAATATAGGTGGAGAAAGTCGACACAATTCCAACTTTGGGCAATAAAGTCGAAACATATCCGATATTGGGCGAGAATTTCGAAACATAGGTCGAGATAATCGAAACATATCCAATTTTGGCCAAAAGAGTCCAAACATAGGTCGAGAAAGTCGAAACAACTCCAATTTTGGGCGAGAAAGTTGGAACAAATCCAGTTTTAGTCGAGAAAGTCGAAACAACTCCAATTTTTGGGCGAGAAAGTCGAAACATATCCAACTTCAGCAGAGAGAGTCCAAACATAGGTCGAGAAAGTCGACACAAATCCAATTTTGTGCAAAAAAGTTGAAACATATCCAATTTTGGTCGAGAAAGTCGAAACATATCCAATTTTGGCCGAGAGAGTCCAAACATAAGTCGAGAAAATCGAAACAAATCCAATTTTGTGCGAGAAAAATGAAACATAGGTCGAGAAAGTCAAAACATATCTAATTTTGGCCGAGATAGTCCAAACATAGGTCGAGAAAGTCGAAACAAATCAATTTTTGGGTGAGAGAGTCCAAACATAGGACGAGAAAGTCGACACAAATCCAATTTTGTGCAAAAAAGTTGAAACATATCCAATTTTGGTCGAGAAAGTCGAAACATATCCAACTTCAGCAGAGAGAGTCCAAACATAGGTCGAGAAAGTCGACACAAATCCAATTTTGTGCAAAAAAGTTGAAACATATCCAATTTTGGTCGAGAAAGTCGAAACATATCCAATTTTGGCCGAGAGAGTCCAAACATAAGTCGAGAAAATCGAAACAAATCCAATTTTGTGCGAGAAAAATGAAACATAGGTCGAGAAAGTCAAAACATATCTAATTTTGGCCGAGATAGTCCAAACATAGGTCGAGAAAGTCGAAACAAATCAATTTTTGGGTGAGAGAGTCCAAACATAGGACGAGAAAGTCGAAACAAATCCATTTTTGGGCGAGAAAGTCAAAATATATCCAATTTTGGCCGTGAGAGTCCAAACATAGGTCGAGAAAGTCAAAACCAATCCAATTTTGTGCGAAAAAATTGAAACATAGGTCGAGAAAGTCAAAACATATCCAATTTTGGCCTAAAGAGTCCAAACATAGGTCGAGAAAATCGAAACAACTCCAATTTTGGTCGAGAAATTCGAAACAAATCCAATTTTGGACGAGAGAGTCCAAACATAGGTCGATAAAGTCGGCACAAATAAAAGGGCGAGAAAGTCGAAACATATCCAATTTTGGGCCCGAAAATCGAAACAGGTCGAGAAAGTCTAAATATATCCAAGTTTGGCCGAGAGAGTCCAAACAAAGGTCGAGAAAGTCGTAGCAAATCCAATTTTGGGCGAGAATGTTGAAACATAGGTCGAAAAAAGTCAAAACATGTCCAATTTTGGCCGAGAGATTCCAAACATATCTATGCGGGTCAAACAAAATTTTTTTTAAAGAAATGTCAGTGGAGAAAGTCGAAACATATCGAAATTTGGTCGAGAAGTCGAAACATATCTATGCCGGGTCGAACAAGTAAAGTTTTGACAAATGTCAGTCAAGAAAGTCGAAATATAACAAATTTTAGTCGTGAAAGTTGAAAAATATCTGAACTGGGTCGAACAATGTCAAACGTCTTTTTTTGGTCAAGAATGTCGAAACATACCAAAATTCGGTCGAAAAAATCGAAACATACCAAAATTTGGGCGAGAAAGTCGAAACATATCGAATTTTGGACGAGAAAGTCGAAACATAGGTCGAGAAAGTCGAAACAAATCCAATTTTGGGCGAGAAAGTCGAAACATATCTATGCGGGGTCGAACAATTTTTTTTTTTACAAATGTCAGTCGAGAAAGTCGAAACATACCAAAATTCGGTCGAGAAAGTCGAAACATACCAAAATTTGGTTGAAAAAACCGAGTTATACCGAAAATGGTCGGAAAAGTCGAGACATACCAACTTTTGGTCGAGAAAGTCGGGACATAAAGCGAGTACCTCGACCCGAGATATGAGCTCCAACATTTACGGATCAAAATAGTATCCCTTGAAAATGATGACGAAGATCAAAGTTTTGCTGAGAAGCTACTTACAATGAAAAACAACGCGAAGACGAGCCGGAACAACTAAAATGGATACCCTCTACGTCAAACGTCGACCGGTTTTTTAGTAGAACTTAATTGACACTCGGGTCACTGAGAACTTTACTGACTCTTCTTCATCTTGAAGCCCTCTTGATTTTAATATAAATAACTTGCTTTGGGATGTGTATTTGATAGAGAAAATTTTTTGATTTCTCATGCCAGACATTTTTTACTGAGGCAATTTCTAGCAATAATTGCAAAAATTCATTGCAAGTTCTGCTACAAATTCATTGCAAGTACAATTATTTATTGTGTGCTCAAAAAACCTTAAAAACTATTTATCTCTACGCTGAAAATCTATTGCAATAATTATCTCAAATGCCCTGGTTCTTTTCCAGTTTCCCATCCAAAATTACAAAAAAAGATGGTCCGAAAGGATTTCTAAGACAATTTGCTTATAAGAAACCCACAATGAGGTTCCATGGATAATAATCGATTATAATTGGTCAAAAACGTTGCCTTTATAATAGGTTATAGTTACAGTTTGGGACCATACAATCGATTGAAATCCCTTATTATCCGTTACTTTCAAAGAATTCAAATTGATTATAATCCATTTACAGTCCACTATATTGGGTTATATTGGATTATAAATTTTCTAAAAAAATTTCAAACGTTCTGCAAAGCTTGCACCTTTTTCTACATTTCTCACGACCTAATTTTTGCAACACGATATCCAGCGCACTCTGAATACCTTTCCGTATGTTTACAAACACCCCCCACCCTTTTCCCCCTTTTTACCCCACCCTCAAAATACCTAATTTCCTCCCCCCCCCCTTCTTCCTCCCCCTACTCCCGTCCCCTACCCACTCCTCAAACTTAACCGCCCCTTACCCCCTGGCTCCCCGAACTTACCCTTACGTATTTAACACCCCTCCCGAACTTACCACCCCCCCCCCTAAAAAGTACATCCCACCACCCCCTTTTCTCTTTGGTTTATAATTAATTCTTAATCCATTACAAGACTGCTCGTATCAGGGCGAAGCCCTGAATGTTCCGACTGCTTTTTAAGGTTTGTGGAGTAGTAACATCCAAAAAATTAAATATAATAAAATAAAATGAAAAAAAAATCTAAAATTTGAATTTTTTTTATGAAATCATCCCCCCACACGCCATATAAAGTACAAAAGAATAGATTTCGCTCATTGTAACATATCAATTATGGCAAATATGCTTCTTTCAACCATTTTGAAAAACGATTTCAAAGACGGATTAAATCTCCGCTTTCGCGTTAATAGCGCGAAACATATCGCGCGTTAATTGTCCCAAATTGGCCAAAATGGCAATCTTTAAACCCCCATAACTTTACGAAAAATGATCGCAGGTAAAATACCTTTTCAAAATTAAGCTCAGGACAACAATACCTTTTGAATGAAATAAAAAAATTCCGTCAAAAATGGCTAATTAAACAGTCAAAATTTGTCTGAAGAAAAAAAACCCACCCCGAGCACAAATATTCTGTTACTTTCGTATCGAAAGTCGGAACAACAATCGATTATTTCTGAGTTTTATCGCGACAGACCTTGAAAGTCTATTATAATCGGTTTTTATCCAGGAACCTCATTGCGTGAATGCAGCAAAAACCTATTGACTTGTCTGAAAATGCAGGTGTTATTGCAGTTTGCAATATCAAAGTCTTTTCTTTAAGTTTTTTTGATTTAAGTTTCAGAAGAAATTAAGGAAAGAACAAGAAAAGAGTCACATTTTTCAATGGATTTTAATGATAAAAGATTGATTACGTACGTGATATCAAATAGGCATAGAAAAAATAAATATGCCAACGCTTTCTAATAGAAAGTTAATGATGTAGATTTTAACGCATGTTTTACTTGGAGGCATATAAACACTCTAAAATGTGCGCTCACAAATCAGGAAAAGATTTAGGTGGGTAACGAGGGGGTGGTGGGGGGGGGGGGGGGGGGGGGTTGTGACTTAATAATTTGGCATCCAGACCATCTAAGCGGTTTATTTGGTCTCGAGGGTCGTATTGGCAA